GAAAACAACGAGATCATAGAGCAAAGAATCTGATGTTGATGATGAGAATCAATGAAAATGAGGTTAAGTGTGATGAATAATTTGGAAAGTATTGTTAAAAATGCAGTGTGTCTGTTATTTTCATAAATAATGGGAGTATATTTCAATTTTGATGAGATATTTTTAGGTTGTTAATTTTTCATCAAAGAGACAACAAGACTCACACAATGGTGAGAGAGAGAGAAAAAACAAAGTTTTACCTGGGGTTTTAAAGAACACAAGTTTGTCTGGTGTTTCTCAAAAGTATAGTGCAGAAAATACTTTAACTTGATCAAGTTGCAATATTAATGACTATGTTAAAACATTAGTAGCAAATAAAATTCACAGATAATGGCTTAGATATCATAACAAACGTATAAATGTGGTGTACCAGGTGTTTTATTTGTTTGTGATTCAGTCATGCAGCTTGAAATATTTTTAATAAGCAAACAATGTTATTGAATATTTTCTTAGTATTATTTTATTGCAAAATACAGTTTTCATGTATGAAAATATAGCACTTAAGTGTAATATGGGAAGGCAGAAAGTACCACCTAAGCAGTGAAACCTTGTAATTCATGCCATAATTGTTAAACAGTTTGTCCCTCAAGAAAAAAAAAATAGCAAGAGCTCACAGTCAAAGGTGAGATTAGCATTGCCTAACCCAAGTCAGCTTGATTGTGTAGGACCTGAGCTCTCTCGACCTCCATTCCTATCTACTGGATTTGGGCTTTGTCTGTGTAGCACGTAGGAAATGAGACTGGGTAAGAAAACTTGATGTGTGTGGTTCCATTATTTGACAGAGGTGACAGAAGGCAGCACAGTCATCAGAGAAGTCATCAGGTTTTCTGGACACATGTTCTATGTGCAGTGATGGACATGAGTACATGCTAATTCACAGTTGTAACCTAGCATTATGATCCTCTTAACCTATGCACTTTGCTGAACCTTTAATCAATTAGAACTCTGTGAACCTTTGCATTTGAATCTACACTTTCAGTATTAAAGGGCAAGTTCCAGTCATGGTCAGTCTCTCATTCTTAATGTGAAACATTGTTCCTGACCTGACTTAACTAGATCTTGTTCCAGGTCCTGCCTTCCCTACTCGAACTCGATGCATCATTAACTTATCGAGCCTCCTACTGCTGCTTATTCCCAGTAGCCTCTGATAGCCATGCATCTCAAAGGCTTCCAACACTTTGATGTGTCTCATTTTAAGCATCCAACTCTCACAATCATAACTTGCTACTGGCCAGGCCATCATTTTTAGCATCTTCACCTTAATATTCTTGCTAAGTCACCAATCTTTCCAGAAGGATATGAAGGACCTGGCTACTGCTCTGGCCATGCTATTGTGTTTTATCATTATAGGTTAGATATATAGTTAAATGACCAATGCTGTGAGAGAACAAAGATCACGAGCTGACATTTTTGACTATAAAAAAGTTTACCTGTTGGATTCACTTGCACTTTCTTGGTTCAAAGTTCTACTTGGAATTCTTTGAGTAAAGATTTACTTTAAGATCATCGTGTTAAGTCTGACAGAAGTCAATCCTAGGAGAAGGAAAGATGTGGAGCTAATTACAGTCTAGTAGACTGTCTTTACGTGTATGTAATTAGATATATTGCATTTCATTTTTGTTTGCTTTATAGTATAGATTGTGTTCATTTTGATAAACTTGTCAGGTTATCAGATTCAGATTAATCTCCTTATATTCTGAGCGAATATGTTGTTATTAGCAGGTCTAACTATCTAAAACTTGTTAGACAGTCTGTTTTTACCTGAAAATAATGCACAATCAAGTATATATCATAAGAGCTTAAACTAAGAGGAGGCAAAACCAGTGGTGGTAAGTATACTAAAGTACCTCACTATAACCCTAAGCAAATTACAAAGGAATTAGTGTAGATGTGAATATTCTATTTCTTGATGTAGTCATTGAAAGTGTACACCAGACTGAAGCACATAATTTACACCTGAATTATTCGAGATAAGTAATCTTGAAATCTCAATTGAATGAAATGCTAGTGGCCATAGGTTTAATATTTTTAAAATCTGTTGAATCAAATAATTAAAAACAAACATAAATTTATATCAGATTTTTGTGCATTTGTATCAAAAATTATACTTATAAAATTTTAGAGGTTTTTTCAAGGTAGAAGAACAATTCCTTGAATTATGTTAATCATGTTATATTTGAATAATTGCCAGCATTTTTATAATTGGCTTCTTTGATGCCATAAGTAGGAATGCAAATGTTCTACAATTAAAGTTTTTGTGATCTATATACATAAGTAAAACCTTGCAAACAATATAATATTGTGAAAAATATTTGGCTTTTTTTGTGAGAAATTGCTTCTTAAAGGAATGAAATATTTCTAAATGGTATTGGCTCAAAATGCAAAGATTTCAGTAAAAACATATTAAAAATTAAAAACTATAATTGTCAAGTTTTTGATGCAACAAAGTAAGTGTTTGGTTCTGTGCTTATATGCATATTATCAATAGACATCTTGGATCCTAATGTTCTATTTCCAACAGACGTATATTTCTTGAAAGAGGTAGACTTCAACTATACACATATATTATGACTTCACTGGATTGAGAAAATGGGAGATCTCAATAATTATCCCTATCTATATTGGCTTGGTAAAGATCAAAATGCTCATACAACAATCTTTTTTACAGAGTTACGTTCAAAATGTAATTAAACTACTTTACTGTTAATGTATGCTAATAAGCTTAGCATCAAAATATAGTCTCTAATTAAATGTTTATATCATCAAAGTTTTACTTTATTAATTTCAAAAATATTTTTTAAATAGATTCTCAATCTTCATCCCTTGTGTCACGTGATGCCTTTGCACTCTAACTTTTAATTTACAGATTTTCTCTCTTCCCTTAGATGGGTTTCAGGGCATCCAACTAATTAGAAATACATACAATAAATATTGACAAGCAAGAATATAAAATTTGAACCTATTTTCTTACTTTGCTGAGATATCACTACATTTGTTCCACCCATATGACACATCCTTTCTATATCTCTTTATCATAAAATATATGCCTATAATTCTCTCAGATATTGCTTATGAATATATTTATAGCCAACAGAAATAGCAAACTTTTCTTTACAAGATTCTTTATGCAGTTATTTAATTTTGGTGGCCAAGTAGACAGTTTGACTTGAGATTCATTGTGTGCATCTATTGCCCTTCAGCCTCAAGCAGCTAACATAAAATTTATATCCTACTTATAACTTAGCTAGAAAGCCAGTTAAACTAGAATAGTTTAGGAACATTCTATTATAGTGTCTGATATAGTTTTTGTGTATTAAAATGCATATCTGAAAGCAACATTACTATTGAAAAAAGAAGTATTATCAAGACATCTCCTGGGTATAAAAAAGCCTCTATGGTAAAGTAATTTTTAACTTTCTGTTTTTTTATGTACATTTAATATTTATTATCATATAGTTTTAAGAAAATTAAATAAAATACAAAAATTAAAACTTACTAGATTAGATAAAAGAACTTATATGAAAAAATTAAATAAAAAAAATTATCATCATCACTCATTTGTGGAATTCCAGAAGTTTAAAGTCACATGATGTAACTTAAACCATTTGTTTACCCTAAGCTGTCCTGCATGATATATTAACCTTCACATACTGTGAAAGGGTCTAAGGTACACTGTAAAGCCATAAAATAAAAGACAGAAGATTTGAAAAGTTAAAAGCATATGCTATTATTACAAATAGTTGTAATTGTTTGCTACAATCTGCAGCCGCTGTAGAAAAAAAAGTAGTTTTGATTTTATTTCATATTTTAAAATTTGTATTTCACCATAAATTGATACTTTTGCTACAGTTAGTGTTAATGCAGAGAAAATTAGAGAAAAAGTTATGCCAACAAAAGCTTTTGATATTCATTTAGGAACTCTAGAGTTCATTCAAATAACATATGAAAATGATAAGATGAAAAGAAGTGTTTTGTTATCATGAAGATCATCTTTCACTCAAACTGACTCAGTAAATTCACAGAAAAATTTATTTATTAAAAGTCTGTTTTTTTTATGTACAACAGACTTGTGGTATTTGCTAAAAGCTTGCAAAATTTTATGAACATACACTTAGTACCTTCAGAGGTATAATATGTACATTTTCCTGGTTATTTGGTGGTTACAAGATTGGCCCAAATGAACTCAATACATAGGGTTAACTTTTATCAGCAATATGTATATCAGAAATTACCATTTCTATCTTTTAACCCTCTTGCTACAGGTATGTCAAAGAGAGCATTTAACAGCCCTTTTACAGACATACATTCAAAATTAAATTAAACTACTTTACTATCATGGTATACAAATAAACTTGGTATCAAAATATAATTAAAAAATCAACCTGTAATATTCTATAAGTTTAATTTCTGAATTTTATAAGGAAATATTGAAATGAATCTTCAAACTACCATAGTATAAAAATCATAATATTTGTGTTCTAGATCTTCCCTTTCTCTAATTTATTTACTACCCCCTCTCTGAAGTACAAAATTTTAAATTTTTAGATGAAGAAAATATTTTTAAACTTTGCTTAAAAATCACTTTGCACTCAGAGCAGTCACCATTCTTATTCCTTATAGTCACAGATAGTAATAGTAGTCTTCAGTAAAAATAGTTAAATAAAAAACCTGATTTTTTGTGTACAAAAGATCTATGTAGACACCATATAAAAATATTTTCAATCAATTATTTTAAACCTTCTTGTTATATATTAAAACATATTTCTGTCTTACCAAAGTTGATACATTTTATATCTTCTTATAATTTCCAACCTATGCAATTGTACAAACATTGGTAAATAATGTTAATTATTATCCATATTTCACATCAGTTTTACAATAATTTAATTATTTTAGTGTTATGATTTATATTGTTACACTTTGCTCTGTTGATATTTAATTATTTTACTGTATTCTTTTAGGGACAGATATATCCAGTAAGGGACTACAGAAGATACACTCCAGTTTAAAAATACTCTTGAGTTTTATTTCCTTCTTAAGCCCTACACATCTTGTTCTGTTGATGAGTTTAATATCCAACAATCAAGCAATGATCAACAATTCTACAGTAAAAAGAAAATTGGATCCTAGCACACGGAATATATTTACAGATCATTTATTGTGCTTTAAGTTTCTTTCTAATATACTAAAGACTGTGTTTAGATAAAGAACAAAAGCTAGAGTCATGAGGAAGTAAGTGTTAAGATATCTATGTTTGTCAAGTCTTTTTCATCTTACTGGCATACAAAACTTGGGTCATTTTTCTGTGAAACAAGATTCAAGTGTTTAAAAAAGTACTTTGTACAAATTCTTAAAACATACTAGCATATTAATACACAAATGTTTAAATAATTAACAAAGTATACAAAAACTGACTAATTTTGACAGACAAGCTTCTCATTCTCAAGTTTTCTTATTTTGGTACTAATATGAATCATTTAAAGTGGAGCTATCTTTGTGTCAACCAATCATATCACAAGTTTCTTTCCATTTTATTGTGGAATATAATTCATTTAATGAGGAAACTTCAGATGTTATTTCATCTTACTGTGAAACATAAATTAGGTCGTCTTGTTACAAATAAAAATATCCAGTTGTTCTCATTATTAAAAAAAAACTTATTATCCTTAGAATAGAATATTTGTGGATCAGTTTATGGCAGTGGAAGTCATGTTTTGTCTACTTAAAGTCCATCTTTAAGGCATCTGAGTGATGAACAAATTACTGTGAAGCAAGCCTCAGCGTATGTAGCAATAACATATGTCTCATACTACCTTACCATGATATAAAGCTCGGGTCATTTTTAGTAATAAAATGCAAATCATATTACAACAAAACTTATGAATCAAAATTCTGCTTACCCAGTATGAAACAAATTACAAATCACTTAGTGTGAAACATAATTCAGACAATCACACTGTGGAGAAGAAAACTGAAGACATTTTCCTGTAGTCCAAGACACTTGCCACCTTAATAGTTAATGTGACCTGTTTGAGCCCTAAAAAGTTATTTTAAATGGAAAAAACTCATACCATCCTAGAAGTGACCAAAACACTGGTTACTGTGTCACTGAGAAAAGTTCTGGTTGAACATCATAGCTCGAGTAATCTTACAGTGAAATATATTGTTACGTCTCCGTGTTTTAATTAAT